ATATATATATATATATATATAATATATATATATATATATATAATATATATATATATATTTATATATATATATATATAATATATATATTATATATATATATATATATATATATATATATATATATTATATATATATTATATATATATATATATATAATATATATATATATATATATATTTATATATATATATATATATATATATATATATATATATATATATATTATATATATATATATATATATATATATATATATATATATATAATATATATATATATATATATATATATATATATATATATATATATATATATATAATATATATATATATATATATACAGGCCTTGCGATGAATAAGAACTGCGCGACGCATAAGCACAACCTGATTTTTGACGTCATTAAATTCTTTTTATTTGCTTTTCATATTCATCGACATTAACTGCACCAATTTACTTAATTACCGCAAAACTACTTTAAATCATTGATGTAGAAATGTTATTATTTAAAAATGTTTTGGAATGTTTCGTTTTTTAAAATGTAAAAACATTTGTTTATTTTCTCTACGTTTGTCACGTTTTGTCTATACTAAACGAATAAAAAACATTATAACTTAAATTTAAAAAAGATTATAAAATATGCTAATATTTGATTTTTTTTTTCTTAAATATGTAATTTAAAGTTTTTTTTTTTAAATATGTAATTTCAAATAATTATTTTTTCTTTTTAAAAAGTCAGCGAGTAATAAACTGGAAATTTTAATATTGTACGATAAAAAACTGTGCAATAGCTAATATTTTTAGAAGCGATTTTATATAATATTTATTTATTTATTTTTATTTATTTATAAAGCGGTAAGCACAATCACTCGTATTAATAAAAAACTTAAACGAACGTTATAATAGGTTTTTAATGTTAACAAGGAATTTTATTTCTAGTAAAATAAAATAAAATGTTAGAATAAAAATCTTATAGGTATAAAAGAAATATTTTCAGCGAAAAAATTATTCTTAAATATTATTCTTAAAAATTATTCGAAAAACTTTTGACGTTCTATTGTTCTTGAGCACGCTTCGTTGGGTTTCGGTAACTTTTAACATAAAAGCGATCGTTATTATTTAAGTAATTTTTTTGAGTTACTTTTTACAAAAATTTTAATAACTGTACTTTTTTATTGAATCAAGTAGAATACGTTTTAATATTAATCCTTTTTTTTTTTTTTTATTTGCCCTCACCAATTTTTAAAATGTTTCCTCGAAATTACTCTTAAATACTTTAAATACGTCTAACAGTTAATAAATATTTTTAAATCTATGGAATAATTTTAAAACCTAACAAACCCCTGTAAAATAATTATTTAAGTTTAAAATCTAAAACTAAAAGAAAGTATTTTTGTTCAATTTTATCGACAACTTTGTTATTGCTGAATAATTTTATTAAAATGTTAGCTTAAAAGATTTAAACTTTTTTTTTAATCTGAATTTTTTCTACTTGTAAATAATGACCATAATTAATTTTTTTTTAATTCAAACTTTTATTTCAACTGCGTGCGGTTTTTAAAATAATTTATTAAATGTTAAAATAAACGTAAATTACTTCATTAAAATTCTTTAAAATTCCGCTCAAAAATATCTTTAAATATACTCAAACAAAAATTTTTTTGCTCGACGCAAATGGCCCTAGCTACACGCAAAATCGCTCTTGGACGACGTAAAATTCACATCGCCCGATGCTTTATCGCAAGGCCTGATATATATATATATATATAAATATAAATATATGTATATATATATATATATATATATATATATATATATATATATATATATATATATATATATACATATATATATATATATATATATCAGGCTTGGTCAGGAAGCGGGAGCGATCACTCTCGAATGCTGGCCAAATTTTTTAGTCGTTTTAAGAACATTTTAAAAAGCAAAAAAAAAAAGCGCTAAAGATTAATTGGACCGATGAGAGACAATTACAAAAAAAAAAAAAAAATTAGGCAAATAAAATATCTTTAAACGCAAAAAAAACTTAAAGCTAAATAAATTACGTTTAGAACAAATATTTTCGAAACATCGCTCTTTTATAATTTTTTTTTATAAAATTATGTGATGTTTTTTATATAAAGTAACAACTTACGATTGTTTAAAAAAGGAAACAAATGCTCTTTATTTAGCAAAGTTTGCAAGTTTTAGTTTTATTTATGCTAAATTATTTTATAAATAAAAAAGTTATTTTTTTCAATACCTATTTTATGTTTTGCGTAGTTTGAAAAGTTTAACATATTTGAAGCAATTCTTCTTAGTAAGATAAACAAATGAAATAATTAAATCATTAAATTACTATAGAAATTAAATTAACAAGATAGAAATAAACTAAAAAAATTAAAAATACTTTATGATGAGGAAGCGAAACTGCTTCACAATATCGCTGATGATGTTTAGTGAGTGGGCTTCTTAATTTTAATTAGTATTTAAAACAGAAAAA